ACAATTTAAGATTTTTGTTGGTGGTGGTGGTATCTCAGAGAGCAACAACTTGAAACAATATAGAAATTAATTTGAGCCATTTACAGAGTTTGCTCAGGGCATGAGCAAAGAAAATTGTGGATGGAAGTCAATTATTTCTCTTAAACCAAAGACCAAGATTTGGCATTTTTAGATGATTTTGAGAAAGACTGCATCCAGTATTTATTAAGCACATATTGGGTGGTATTTCCAACATTTTAGCATACACAGAGAAACAGAATAACTTGAGTTAATAACTCTACATGTTTTATTTGCTCAGTAGGTACCTAGACAGTTGCGATGGTAAATCAGATTTTATTGGAGCCAGCGAGGGGATTTTGCAGATGTTTGTGTCGAGGTTTGCTGTAAAAAGCTGTTGTCACATGACAAGGGAATTGTGGAAAGTGAAGAAATTAAAATTGTATTAAAGATGGTCCTACACTAGTAACTCATGTGTTTAAATAAACACATTTTTGCCCTGAGAGATCTTCCAAACTATTTCTCTAAAACTTGGCCACAGGAGTTAGAACTCTTGTTGCAACATAGAAAGTCTTGCTTGTCCCCACTTGGTCAACCACTTTGAATTCTATCCCAACATTCTCTTCCTTTCTTTCCCTCTCATCCCCCAGTTACTGCTCTACTCGTTAGTCTATGTGGTAGCGGAGAGATCAGATACGGTTATGGTTTGGGAGGGCAACTATGAGGAGTCTTCAAAATATTCATGGGAAAATCTGTCTTGTGAAAAAACTGTGCACACATTTGAATTGTTTCAGCACCAAAAATCAACTTTTCTTTTAATTCCATTTTCCCACAAGCTCTTTGAAAGACCCTTACCTAACGGGGAAAGAATACGTAAGTTTGCTTCCTTTTTCTTAGCTAAGACTAAGAAATGTAGACAGAGCCATCACGTTTCAAGTGAAAAACTTGCGTTGTAAATCATTTCTTAGTTACCTCAAGCCTTAGTTTCCTTCCAGCTGATGAGACAGGCAGTACAAGCTTGGTGCCTTACTCAAAGTATGCATGCCGTAAACTGTGTTGCAGGGAATGAATGAGTGAGCCCAGCTGCACAGGAGATGAACTCCTTATTCTAGTGGCCCAGAAATAGGGAAATGGAAAGTGAGCAGATAGAGGGAACTGTGGAAAGCAAAGACCCAGGCTGGCTTGGTCGTGGTGTGTCAGCATTTGTATCCTGACTTGGAGAGCTGTATGGTGTTTATGGAAGAGATGGTTCTTGATTTGGGGAAAGTCAAGTTTGGGAGATGACAAGACAAAATAATGATGGCATGTATAGAGACGGGGAGAGCAAAGGTGGTGACACGTTGGCTATGGGGGACTCTGGACAAGGATATAAGGGAGGTCTTTTGTGATATTCTGGCCAGTTTTTTGAAGTTTGAAATTTTTGAAAAATAAACATAAATATGTTCAGAGTGTATGTTTTCTTTCACAAGAAATTAAAGAGTCGATCTGGATTTATTTCCAGCCTTTTGAAATTCCAGGGAGTTGCTTTGAGTCTCAGATCTGTGCTGTAACGTGATCGTGAGAGGACCCGGCACGGCAGACAGCCCTCAGCAGAAATAGGAGCATTCCCACTTTGCCACTGGCTTCTCCCCGTGGTTTTCTCCTTCCCTCCTCCTGGCTCCACCCCTTCCACCCCTGAAGCCGCCTTGGAGGACCTCTGGGAACCAGGCATTTTTTGCTTCCCTTTTCCCAAGGAAACCCACAGTTTGATCGCAAGTCTTGCTGGCAGATTCCAGCTGATGTCTGCTCCTATACAGACTCCCCTTTTTTTAATCCACTGCCACCCAATCAAAGCCCAGATTCCTTTGAGAACTAGACTCTTTCCAAAAACGTGTGTTGTTTGTTTTCCATGAGCTTAATATAAAGCCCCCAGCAAGCCAACACGCCAATCCCCGCGTTGCTATTTGCCCTTAGTGAATGTATTATTTCTTTCTCACTGGTTGCCTTTGAATCAGAGATGACGTATCCAGGAACCCTCAGGGTGGAGGGTCACGGACGCGATATCCGGGAGGAAGTGCTGTCCAGAGGGGGGTGTTTGTTCATGGCCATCGCGTCTTCATTGTTGTGTGCGGGAACTGACTTCACGTTGTTCACGTCACGTTCTCCGTACAGCAGGGCGTCCCAGCCCTCTGAGTTTGAGTCACTGGCCCTGTTGCAGTGATGTTCAGAAAGCTCTTGACATCTCCCAGCCCCACGGAGGTTGTGTGTGCCCTCCCCCACCAAGTCTGTGGAAAATCCATTCTCCTTTGCCAGCTTGTTGAAGGACTTTCTGAGAACCTTCCTGGTGGGGTCCTTCCTGGGAGGGTGATTCTCACCCCCAAGTGGACGTCTGGCCGTGTCAGTGTGGATTGCTACATACAGGGTGAGGTACGGCTGGCATCTAGTGGGTGGCGGCCAGGGATGCTGGTGGGCAGCTTCACACCCCCACCACAGCCTCCCCCATAGCTCTACAGATTTCCATCAGTAGGCACGTATAGTCTACAGCATTACTCAAATATGTTGGATACCAAGTCCCTGTTTTTTAAGTCAGAAAAGTCTTGGAGGTGATGAAATTGTTGCTTTCCTCTTCCCAGGGAGAGAAGTCCCGTTTTCCCACCAGTTGTTATGTTGGCTTTTTTAACCCATCAGAGGAAACTATGAACAGTTGATAAGCTGTTCAAGGAATGTGGGGTCCACGTGGCTTTTCTGCACATGAGCTGGGCAAGGAAATGTCTGAGTCCTACCTCCCTATACCACCCCTTTCCATTTTGCCAGTCTTTCCTACTTGAGAAGTTGGTGAATGTTATAGATTATGAAGCTCATACAGACATGGGAGTTAATGAAGAAGTTCCTTTTGGTGCAAAACGATTTTGAAAGCATGCATAGTGTTTTTATAATACAAGTTTTTTATGAGATTTTTAAAGACCTCTCATGTTTACAATTTCAAAAAAGTTTTGCTCCTAAATAAATGTGCTTTTTCAGTCCAGTTTCATGTGAGCGTTTTGAAAAACCCTTCTTTCACCCTCCACAATCACTGTACTGCACAAGTATGCTCAGAATGGCCGGTACATCTCCTGAGACCGCGAGAGCAGAGAACATTGTAGATGATTCATCTCTTGGTCCTAGAAGGAAAATCAATCTCAATTCTTCTCCTTTTAAAAGGTCACTAACAATGGCCATAAACACCAGGAGCAACTCCAAAGCTGTGAGACTGGAGAAGAAATCTCTCAGTGGAGGAAAGGCCAACAGAATGAACCCAAGCCACTGCCATCCAACTCCCAAGTTTTATGCAGGGATCTGCGCTCTAATGAAATAGTGGATTTTCCCCCACAATATTTAGGCTATTTCGTGGAAGACCACAGATATTTTTATTGGAAAGCAGACATGTGCACTGTGTTCAGTGTTAAAGAGATTTGGTCTCTATAAGGCAAGTAGGTATCACCTTCCAGAATTAATTTGACCTTAGGTTACCAGTGAACTGACTATATCAAAAGCTCTTTATAGGGAAATCGACTTTGGCCTAAACGTAATCTTACCAGTGATTCTGAGTGATAAATGTAGCAACTGCAAATCTTCTCTTTAAAAATAAGAACATGTAGGCAACACCAAAATAGCTTGCTTTTCTAAATGAATGAGTTTCTCCATTCCTCAGTCTCACAATTGATTCTCTTACATTTAGGTGCCCATCTGCGATTAACCAGATGGGTTTGTCTCAGAGGGAAGAAATAGCAGCAGCCCCTACTTACTGAATATTGGGTGTGAGCCAGGGGCTGGGTTCAGTGCTTTGCAGGCATTATTGCTAATCCTCACGGAACCCTTACAAAATGGATCTTACTGTGTCCATTGTGCAGGTAGGAAGACTGACAGGGAAAGTAAGCCAGTTTCCCAACATCCTAGAATCAGTAACCCTTGGAACAAGACCCGATGCACTGCAAAGCCCCATGCTTTCTTCCTGCCTCTCCTGGAAACCCTGCTAACCCTGATTTTAATGTGTGACCCACAGAAGAAATAAGCGTTCGCCCGAATGGAGATCAATTTAGCCTTTCCTGCTCTTTTCAAGTCCCTGAAGCTGTGTCCTTGAGATCTGAACGTGACTCAAGGGTTGTCAGCCAGCTTCCTTGTTGGGTTTACTTTCCTTATCACACGTTGGAAGTAACTGAATGTTTGTACTTTTGAGTAGGACCCTTTTACACTTCACTTAGTTTTGAATGGCTTTAAAAGAAATTCAACTTGGTTACTAAGCAGGCTCAGACCAGAGCTATGAAGTGGGTCAGCTTTCCCCTGGCTGTCCCCAGCACCCTAGGATGAGGAGAATTCATGCACCCATCAGGGGAGGTCCTGCTAAGCTACGACCCTGCTAGGAGCCTGCTGCTAGATCACTTTGGGGCGGGCTGCGCTCCCAGACAGTGCGCTGGAGAGTGGCCAGGAGTTTACTCTGTCAAATTCACTCTACAGTTACAGTCTTAGGCTCAGTGTTGGCTTTGTAGTCTTGGGCATCCTATACATCGGGAGCCTTTTTCTAAGTGACTCTTTAGAAGGTCTGGTCCAACTGAGACACGTGGTTTTGAATGGAAGTGGGCATCTGCAGTGTTTGGTTTTAGATGTTCCCAGGCAGAATCGAGATACAGAATACAAGATGGGTTCTCAGTAGAACCCATCCTAGGATTCTGTTTTCGATCTGTTTACCTACATTGTTTCCATCTGACAAAAATGTCAATCAAAAGTGCCCCCTCTGGGAGGAGATGACCCTCAGGACATGCAGTGATACCAATGGCTTAGAGACAAACTCTCCACATCTGTCTGCATTTGCGGGCAGTGTCGTATTCTGCGTTCCTCCTAGCTTCTGCCACTTGTCTGTTTCCTTCTCAGATAACCTTACTCTTAGATGTCCCCTGTGCAATTTTTTAGTTCTGTAGCTATGAATTAAATATTAAACCACAAGAGCACTTCGCCAGCTTTGGACTGAATAGACACAGGAGATTGGAGAGAGCAGTAGGGGTATTTATTTGATCCTTACATAAACTGCGTATTGTGCAGAATGTTTATTTAATCGTTAAATATTCCTGTGAGATAAGTGGCTCCAGGTTCTCTTAGGAACTGTTCATTCACTCAGCCGTGCATTCATTTGTGCACTCCATAAGGATGTGAATGTTTTCATAAATGAGGCTCCATTGTAGGCACTGGGCATAGAGCAGGGAAGCTGATACACAGAAGCCCTTGAACTCTTCGGGCTCACATTCTAGTGGGGAGAGGAGGCAACTTCTAAGTAACAGAACAGAAAGGGTACAGTATGTATCGTCAGAGATGATGACAGAGTAATCTAAGTTAAGGAAGAGGGATCGGGAAGGGGAAGGAGAACAAGTAACTTTAAGGAGATTGGAGTCAGTCTCTGGCAAGAAGTTGCCAGTCAAGCAAGGAGGTGGGAAAATATAAAAGCAAGGCAGTATCCGGGAGGCGAGTTTGGCAGGTTCAGATCTGGAGGGAGGCGTTTGTCCAACCCATCTTGGCAATGGCAAAGACATTGTGTGACTGAAATGGATGGAGGAGCGGTAGGATGTGAAATTCAAGTGAAACTGAGGACAAAGGGCAGTGAGAGTAGACTTTGGGGCAAAGAAAACCAAGACAGGGTTGGGTTCTTGGAGGGATTTTTTTTTTTTTTCTCGCTTTGCCTTGGCTCTCAGTGAGATGGGAAGCCGCTCGGTTGAGTAGGAACATGATTTTGTTTTCAAAGGATCACTCTGGCTTCTGAGTTCCAGGAAGGCTGTTGAGAGGATGAGAAATGGAATCCTGGGTACCACTGGGAGTCACTGCAGTAACTCTAATGAGAGACTGTGGTGGCTCATGCCACAGTGGTCCCAGGGGAGGTGGTGAGAGGTGCCAGGATTCTGATAGATCTTCAAGGTGTTACTGGAGGATTAGGCGAGTGTTTGGATACAGGCTACAAGAGAAAGAAAGGAGTCAAAATGATGATAATTTTATGGACTCAGCAGGTGGAAGGATGGTGTTTCTATAACTGCAGTGAGCATGAATATAGGAAGAACAGATTTGTGGAGAAAGATTCAGGTGTTGAACAAAACTGGAAGTACTTGCTGCGAGTAAGCATTCTGCCTAAGCTAACAAAGGAAGAGCTTGGACTAGCTCAGCCAGGTCTGAGTGGTTCTAAAATTGTGTCCATCGCTGCCACACTCTCCTGCCTCAATCCTTGGATTTCTGTTTGAATCACTCTCAGGGCCATGCAGGAATCCGTTAACTTCACAGAAAACCGTCAAACATGGTTGCAGTCACTTCTAGTGCCAGGTCTTCCATGTTGTGAGCCACTTGCATGTTAGCTGGTTTTTACTTCTTCTCATGTAATCTTTTCATAGTGGTCCTTTTGAGCTATTCCTTTACCCAAATGTAGGCAGGAACAGGACACAATTCAAGAAGCAAAGGACTTGCATAATGGATATCGAGAGTGACTGTGTTAGCTGAACACCCAGCAGAGCAGTGCAGGGTTGGAGGATGAGCACCTCAATCAATGATGGTTAAAGGGACCATTCTACCCACTAGTGAGATACATTTCTCTGGCTACAGGCTCAGATTTTTATGCACATCTGAGTTATGGGGAGGCATTTAGATCAACACCAGAGTCAATTAACGACATAAACTGCTTCCCCCATAAGTTGTAATTTTTCAATAAAGCTGTCCCTGGGTATCCACAAGGGACTAGGTCTGGGGCATTGCATCCCCCACAGTGCATACTAAGATCCACAAATGTTCTGGTCCCTTATAGAAGATGTTGTAGCATTTTCTTAGAACCTACATGCATCCTTCCACATATTATAAGTCATCTCTAGGTGCCTTATATTATCGACTATTTTGTAAATGCTATATAAATAGCTGTTATGCTATATTGTTTATGGGAAAATGACAAGGAAAGAGTCTTTCCAAGTAGTACAGATGCCATTTTCCCCCAGATATTTCCTACCCTTGGTTGGTTGAATCCGTAGGTAAAAAGTCTTCAGACACAGAGAGCTAATGACTGCATGCTATATTGTGCTGGCCTGTGAAGATGCTGTCTGCACACTCAACTCGTGGGTGAATGGCCAGACAGGCAGAGAAGCGAAGAGTGAAGGAGGCAATGAAACGAACTCTTCCCTAGTGTCTTCCAAAGGACTGATTGGCACAGTCGGGAGGAGGACATGATTCAAGGAGTGGACGCTGGTCAGGTCCATGGGAGTTCAGAGATAAACTTCATGGATTGCTTTTCTACAGAAGCATTCCCAGTGGTAGCTTAAGCTTCCCAGGTCTCCCCTGGCTGCCTCTCATGGTAGCATAGCTCTGTCAAGAGGGTCTGACCTGCCTCTGTCATCGCTGGCTGACTGGCATCACCAGGGAGCCTTGAACCCTCTTGCCCAGGCCTTCCATCACAGTCCACCTAGAAGGTAGCAAGAAACTTTGGTCACTCTCCCCACCTGCCATAGCATTCCCACCAGTCACTTACTTAAGACACTTCTTCACTCACCTTTGAAACAAGAATCCTAGAACAGATGTCTCACCCACCACCCTCCCAGAATTCCAGGCTGCTTTCATCAGTAATCCTGTGGCACGCAGCGGATCCTTGTACCATCCTTCCCTCTGTCCTGAAAAATGCCAGCATGATTGCTCTGCTGAAGTCAGGTTACAAATGGTCATCAGGTATAACCTTGAACGGGAAAAGAAGTCCTTCACAACTAAGCAATGTGTTTGGAAGCAGGACACACAGGATACAGCAGGAGTCACAGGGCCTAGTGGTGTGATATACCTCAGATTCCTGGGGGCACTCTGGATCCAGATACAGCGGAGTTCCCCAGGGGGTGCGTTTGCAGATTTTGCTCATTTTTGTTTCTCTCTCTCAATGGCAGAAAACTGTAATGTTTACCTTCCTGCAGAACAGAAAAAAGAAACCCCAGCCTGGGTATAGGAGCTTGCAAAATGAATTCATATAGTGCACTATGTAGTGATTGAATTGGTTTTCTCCCTCTACCATGATGTTCTTAGGTGAGATCAAAGGCAGGAGGCAGCTGCAGAGTCCTGTGCTTCATAATCCTTGAGGCCCATGGGAGGCAGAGAACATGAGGGCCTCCCCCCGTCACCCATATTATTCTGGCCCTGTCGCCTTCCTGGCTAGGCAGGGCCACCTACTTGGTTGTGATATTGACAGCAGCCTTCTTAGACCTTAGCAAAGACTGGGGGTGCTGAGGGGCCGTGGGGCTAGGGGGTGGCCTGATGCCCATCCGGCCGGGATGGCTGTGACTCCACATCCGCTGTCCTCTGTGGTATTCCCTGCCAATCTCATGCCTTCTCGGCTCCTTTTCATGGTAATCAGTGCCAGGGTGGTCTTAGACATAAACAGCCGTCAGGCAGGCCTGTCAACACTGGCTTTACGCCCTGAAATCATAGCCCTTGTGTCCTGCAAAAGCTTTCTCTCCCTTCCGCCTCAATATTTTGGTTCCCCGTGTCGCTGTTCAGAGCCATTCTTGTTTTGTGAGAAGCCCAATAAAGACACCCCCCTGTGATGGGTTTCACATGGCCTATAAGGAGATGGGCTTTTGCACAAAGAGCTGTGACCACGCCCACAGCCGCATTGAGCATAGCCAGGAATGGAGAGGCCATAGATCCAATGATGGGTGTGATCTCTGGTGCTGGTTCTGTGTCTCAGGATGATGAAATCAGTAACAGGACAGGAACCAAATGAGAATCCTAAGGAGTGCTTGGAGTGCAAAGTGTGAGCAGAGGATGATGGGACGGGAAAGCAACGTGGCATTCCGATGGGGCATCTCTTTTTCTTACTTTGGTGAGAGGAAGACCTGTCAATAATTAACATCGTCCAAGGGAGAGAAGGGCGGTGTAGGAGTTGTCAGCATTTGTGTCTGCTCTGTGGATGTCTCTGTGACTTGGGAAAGGAAGGCACTCTCACCCATTCATGTGTGAGATTTGGCCACTCCTAGCCCCATCTTAACCCCTCAATGCCTGTGTCAGCACAGTGATCTTAGATGCCATTGGTTAACAAATGTTGTATTAAAAAAAAAAATAAGCTTGACTTTTAAACTGCATCTTAGGAGATATTCCAAACAGAAGTAGCAAGGGTGCTGACTGTGAGCATGTATTATTTTTATTTTTTCTCTTTATGCTGCTTAGCCAAAATAGCTTTGTATGCATGCTCTCACTTACTCATGCCACAACTATGTGGGTTGTGAATACTACTGTTGTTCCATTTTACAGAGCACAGAGCGATTAATTCACTTGCTCCTGGTAGCATCATCATGGTAGAGTAGCATATGGGATTCCTGCCCAGGTCAGTGTGATTTCCAAATCTGTGTTGCGTTTTAGAGCAAGGTGAGAGCAGTCACCCCTATGGCCAGCTGTAGTTTCCTGGGTTGGCACCCATGCCCCAAAACTTCCTTGGAATTTGCTCTTAACTGGTACCAGGGATCAGAGGGCATTACTTCACTCTTGTTCGGATTGGGGTGTTGGTAGTCCCTCAAAGCCAAGGTGCAGAGTCAGTGCCTTCCTTGGCTGTTGGCTGCCCACCATGGGAGCTCTCAGCAAGCCTGTCCACCTTGGAGTGGAAGGAGTCAGAGCGTCTGGTTAGCTCTAGTTACCGCGCAACATGCAGCACACAAGAGCCTGACCACAGCCCCCTGATGAGACTGGCATCAGATGGGAAAAAAGTCCTAAGCCTGTGTGCACTCCTTCCTTGCTGGGTGACCTTTGGGCCTGCCGAATCTCCTTTTCTCTAGTGAAATAAATAGATGTACTACATGAGCTTTGAGTTGCCCGACCACTCAAACATTTGGGAGAGTGGTCCTTGGCAAACTGGCAGGTCAACATTTACAACCCTCACTTTCCATTCACAACCATACCTTCATCAATGGAAACGATAATGCACTACTTGGCACAGGGCAGGCCTCAAAGGGTTAATGACCTTCAGAGATGGCAGAGAGAAAAGCAGTTGTTGCTTCAGACAAGGGGAAATGTGGCCCTTCGTTTGAGTGATTGTTTGCTTTTTATGATATATTTTTTCTTCTGGTGCTAAAGTATTAAAGTCAGCAATGAACATTGCATAGCTACTGTGTTCCTAGGAGACTGAGGACACAGAGGACTCTAAAATAGTCAGGAAAGGCATTTCTTGGAGGGCCTTGCTTTCTGTTTTTGTCACAAGTAGACGGAGGTGCACACCCTGTTGTCTTATCCAGGCTGTGTTTCAGTATAGTTTAAGGACTGCCATAATGGTTCTGGAGACAGACTTGCTGTATTTAAAGCCTAAAGCTGTTGCTTCCTGGCTAGGTGACTGTGGCCTAGAGACATCATTTCTTTGACCCTCAGTCTCCTTATCTGTGAAAAGGGATCTGATGGTACAAGATTGCTCTTGGGATTAAATGAGAGATGCCAAGGTGCCCTGGGCCCAGTGCTCCCTCATGGAGAGAGTTGTAGGATTTTCAACTCTGTCTTTGTTTTGCAAACTCAAAGAGTGCTCTTGGACTGGCCATTTTGAATCTAAGTAACTTGAGCTAACTTAGCTCAGCATTGGCACTGTGAGTCAGATGCTAGGTGGCTCTTTTTCCAACCTTTATGAAAACATGACATTTATAGCATATTTCCTCTATAATGGCTAGAGCTTTCCTGTGTTCTCATTTCCATAAATACTTGATGGCTGGCTATCGTGTGAAAAGCAGTAAATAAAAAGATGTGAGTTGCAGCAACTATCTTTGTTCTTTGTGATATGTCCACTTGGTTTCCCAGGCCTTCCACTGAGCAGGTTTGAAAATGCAATCCCTTAACCTGCGTCCTTGCACTTGCATTTCATTTTCCGGTGCAACAGTGGGCCTACGTTGGTATCCCTCGGCCTCTCCTGCTCGTGTGACACTCATGTGACCTTCACTTCATTTGTCACAGGAATTGGCAAAGGCAGCCCTGAACCTTGGGCATCAGCATTGTGTCCTCTCCGATAGCATACTCTCCAGATGAGGTTTGACTTTGTGTTCTGTTAGATAAGGTCAAATTGAGGGTGGAATCAAGGAGAGCTTCTTGGCGCTATGAAAACGCACAGCCAAACATGTTTAAATGAAGTGACTTAGGTGTTAGTTTCATATGCTGCCTAATCACATGGGAAAGGTCTTTAACAGTAATTTATACAGTTTCCTGTCTCCAAACGGAACTGTACTCACCTTCCTCCAAATGATGCTTAGCCACCTCATTGCCAGGAATCCTTAATTCAAAGGTCTTGACTTCACTTGGTAGCGGATTCCAGTTCATGACATTTCTCTTGGACTCTCTGTCCTTGTTATTTCTAACCTGTTGTCAGCGAATCCTGTGGTTGGAAGTGTGAACTGGACAATCAGCATCCCACACTGCACATTGCATAGACACAGAATCCCATCCATCTAGATTATCAGACTGTGCCCAGACACTGACTGGAGCACCCCTGCTTGGACCATCCATCAACCCCTATTCGTCTGGCATCTTCTATAGCTCAAGTGGACCTAGTCCCCACCCTTTCCCTTCCAGTGCTTCCTCTGAGTCCCAGCATCTTCTAGCCCCACCCAGAAGCTTTCTTCTGGCCAGATTCTGTGTGCATCCCTGCCTGACATCTGCCCTCCACTTACTACTACTTCTTGGAACCTTAGGGGATCTTTGCCCACTCTGTGTAGAACCCCATATTCATCTGAATGTTCAGGCCCTCAGCAGACTTGGCAACTCTGGGGATCTCATTCTCTTTAATCTTCAGCCCTTCGCGTCCATGCAGACCTCAAGGTTGCCTGCTGGCTTCTTGATGACTCAGGTTCGGTGTCCCTCATAGAAGTGAAAAGACAACCCAGGGTATCCTGGAGCCCAAGGACAGCTCCCTAAACCTAGATCCATCTGAACTTTGGGCATCAGCATTGTGTCCTCTCCGATAGCATACTCTCCAGATGAGGTTTGACTTTGTGTTTTGTTAGACAAGGTCAAGTTGAGGGTAGAATCAAGGAGAGCACTGCTACTTAAGGGTGTTGTGGCACAACAGGGTAAGCCTCTACCTGCAGTGCTGGCATCCCATAGGGCCACTGGTTTGAGTCCTGCTTCTCCACTTTCAATCCCTGCTAATCCACCTAGGAAAGCAGCAGAAGATGACCCAAGTCCTTGGGCCCCTGCACTTGTGTGAGAGACCTGAAAGAAGCTCCTAGATCCTGGCTTCTGCCATTTGTAGCCTTTTGAGGAGCGAACCAGCAGATGGTTCTTTCTCTCTGTTTATCTTTCAAATACATAAAATAAATATTTTTTAAAAAAAGAAATAAAGCTCTAGGAGGACAGAGGAAGTTAAGAACCAGGGGAAGTTGAGAACTGGCTGCCCTTGTCTTGAGTTATGTTTCTACCAGATGATTTGAAAGCAAGGATTTCCAACTCTTGGACTTCAGCAGTGGAAAGTGTTAACAAACCTTGGAACAAGGCTCCACATTCCAGCATCCCCTTCACAGCTTCATATAAACAAGAGCCTGCAGGCCCAGGCATCCTGGATGCTGACTTCAGTGTTTCACAGTAACCAGAACCAATTACAGTTGTTTAGGAGTCTTGTTCAAAGTTGGAGGAAAATCCTTCTCTTCAGCAAGCTGGGTTGTTTGCCTAAAGAAAAAAGTCAGACCCATTTTGGAAACCTAGAGGGCTCTTTCCACTGCACATTGAAGGAATTAAATGTTCTGGAGAGCAAGGACACTCAGATTTGTAGCCAGTAAATAACACGTGCTAGGTGACGCACTGAATTTGACTGTTATTTCTTGGTGACGCATGTTGATATAAAACTCACCTTTTGCCTGGGCAAAGACTGAAAATGATGAGCTGGAAATGTCCCACAGAATGTGGGAGAGGATTTGAAGCTGGTGCTCGTGTGATGATCAAGATGACAGCTCCTTGATGAAGTCATAATAGGCTCATTAATAAACCTGTTAGAGTTGCACATTTCCGTGAGCAGCTGCTTTTTTTTCCACTGGGAAGTTAGGAAACATTCAATGAAGAGTGTTTGCTCTCAGATTAGGTACTTTGAGAATTTCCTCATCACTTTTAGATCTTAATAATTTCAGGCAAATAATACATGCAATGAGTCATGATGAAGTATCACATTCATTTTTCCAGTTCAGTTCCATTCAAGTCCCCACATAAGAAAAGTGCACATAGGAATGGGTGGGATGCACTGAGTGCAGGTATGAAAAAGGTTTTTAAGGAATCATATTTAGAAATATATTCATGCATCTCCATTTCATTAATAATGGATGTTGGCTGCACCAGTGGCATACCTCAGATGAATTATCATCGGTGAGGATGTTCATAATTTAACTATTAGTCATTGTATGTTTCTCATGCCAACAGGAACACAAATATATCTACTTGTGTTGGAGGCATATGGGAAGCAATGCGTAAACCATGCGGTTACATTGTTTTGAAATCACCAGTTGTCTCCAGTAGTAGGACCCATCTCTGTTAGTGTGTTCCATTGATTCATTAGGATGATAAAATGAAGTAATGCATATAAAGTCTCAGGGCAGTGCCTCACACATAATGAATGTGACAGAGATGTGCCTTTGCTACTTCTGCCTCTAGAGATTGTTGCCTACTTGTAGGCTGTGTCTTCTAATGACCACAGTGTATTCTTACATGAGTGTGTGCATCAACTCCCTTTTCCACCTCCACAGTGAGGGAGAGCTTTTTGCACTGTTTGTATATGGAAATGACTGTCCTATAAGTAGCCCTGCTGGAAGTTCTTCCATGTTCAGTTGATTACCCCAAAACAACCTTGGAGCTAGGCATTGGGCCCAGCTCTTAAGATGCCACCCTCTCATGTCAGAGTGCCTGGTTCAGTACTTGCCTCTTGCCTGGACAAATGTAGTCATTTTCCTAAGTAGTTTTTCTTGTTTCTTCTCACACTGTATTCACATCCAATCTCTACTCAATAAAGTAGAATTTTTGAGACAGAACTCAGGTCATGTCTTGCTCTGCCTTAAAACTCTTCAGTGATTTCTCATCATGTGCATAATCAAATCTAAACTCATTGTTACAGCCTATAAACCCGACTGGTCCAGCCCCAGAAAATGTTTCTTCCAACCACTCTACACTTTTTGTTTCATGGTACTCATCTCTGAATAATCTTGTGGTTATTTTTGTCATCACTTGGTTCGTGGTACTTTCTTCCACTGGTCTGTAAGCTGCCTGAAGGCAGGGATGATGTCAGCTCTATGCATCACTCTATTTCTGGTCCTGTGTGTAATGCCTGCAACTTGGTAGGTGCTCAGGCAATGTGTGTTGACTACACAGATGAACACATCCAGAATTTTAGTTGTGCCGCTATATTTTTTTCTTGTTGGAGTAAAATTTTTAAGTATTCAAATTGGACACTGATAACATGGATTTTCTTTGTGCAACTCATTAGACCGCTCTTAGAGATTTGTAGGGATACTTCTAGGGACTGTGTTCTAGAATTATATCCCAATGTCTTTATATACATCAAAACACTGCAGGCTGAGTATGGATGTTTGTGTTTTAGCATAGATATTCAAACTGAGCGCCTTGCTTCCATATTGTATGTTACTAAGATTTCCACAATGACTATTCCAATTCACAGCATTCATTAGATGGGAGCTCAAATGAAAACAGCCTTGTCTCCACCTGCTAAAGTGAAAAGTTAAAGCTAAAAGAATTAATATATGTATTTTGAATTTCAATTTCTCTCCGAGCTACTATTTACATTTTTATAATAGTTTGTGTTTATGAGAAAAACTTATCTGGCACATTTATGAATGGTGTAACTTTGAGCGTGCTTGGTATTAGTGGTTGAATTAGGAATAGTCTCCTTGTTGTACAAGTTTCTATTTATTAGGCATAAAAGGGCACTTTGGTAATTTAAGTTAACAAAATCACAAAGTCAGTGGGGGAAATAAGAAATACTGAATAGAAGGAAATGACACTTGAAATCTATTTTCATTGCATTTTCGCATTTTGTTCTTCATTCTTAAACTCATTTCCCTCCAAAAAGCATGAACATCATATTGGGAAATAATGTGTCTTGAAAACCGGAGCCAGCAGCTTATGATCCAAGTGGTAATGACTTCTGTAACCGCTAATGAGGCAATGGATGTTGAATATCTCAGTGCACTCATTGGGGCCAGCCTGTCATAGCAAATTTTTGTCTAGACTCCGTGGGCACTTTGATTCCTAAACCTTTCTGAGAAACCTAATCTGAAATCAAAGTCAAATTTCTTAGATGTGGTCAGACAAGGTCACATTTAAAACAGTCCAGTGAACCTGCAGATCAAAGTTGAAAGGTAATACCTCCCTCCCCAAATTGGCACAGACTTACCTGCTAGCTTACCTTTCAGTTTCTACCATGCCTTTTTCACCTCTCCCCGGTGGACTGGGAAAGCTGAGAGCTTGTTCTCTTGGAAAAGGGTTCAGAAGTTTCCTTCAGTCATTTAATTAAGAAATTGGACACAGTTGTATTTTGGAAATGTATTTTCATCCCAGTCAGTGAATCATGAGGCATTTTGTGAAGGAATGTCTTACTATTTCGTAGTAAGACTTCTTCCCATCAGAATTGCATGGTAATTTCAGGTTCATAAGCTTTGTCATTGGCTCAGTTACCAGGATTTACCCACAGTCGTGAATAAATCCACATGCCATCCAGGACTGGTGCTACAGTAAAGTGGGCATTCTTTTTTTTAATGTCACCTTCCCTCTCACATTGAGCCTTGAGATATTATCCAAAATAGTGATGGGGAATGGGGGAATGGCAGGGCTGGTCTTGTGGTATAGCACGTTAGGCTGCTCCTTTCAATGCCAGCGTCCCATGTTGGAATGCAGGTTCAAATCCCAGTTGCTCCACTTGTGATCCAACTCACTGCTGATATGCCTGGGAAAGCAGTGGAGGGTGGCCCAAATACTTGGGCCCCAGCCACCCATGTGGGAGACCCAGATGGAATTCCAGGCTCCTGGCTTCCACCTGGCCCAACCCCAGCCATTGCAGCCATTTGAGGAGTTGAACCAGCAGATGGAAGATCTCTACGTCTGTCTGTCTGTCTCTCCCTCTCTCTGTTGCTCTGCCTTTCAAATAAATAAGTCTTAAAAAAAAAAAAATGGGGGAATAGCGGATCTTGTGAGGCATGATCTTACCATCTCACAACACAGGTTTTTTCGAACTCCATGTGATTAAAAAACAACAACCTTGCCATTGCTTTATATTGCAGTGTTCTGTCTCTTGTGGTCGAGGGCATAAGCAACGAAATGTTTACTGCATGGCAAAAGATGGAAGCCATTTAGAAAGTGATTACTGTAAGCACCTGGCTAAGCCCCAAGGGCACAGAAAGTGCCGAGGAGGACGATGCCCCAAGTGGAAGGCTGGCGCCTGGAGTCAGGTGAGCAATGCTTCTCCGTTACTCACTGCTTCCCTGGGTCTGGCCATGTGGCTGGCACCAGTGTGTTCGCTTGTATTTCTCTGCACGCTTTTCGTTTTATAGCGGGGAGCTCAGAGACTGGGAGGGTCTTCATCTAGACAGTCAGAGTACTTAGTCACACCGTGACCTTGGGACCAGCAGCTTTGACCCTGGGAGCTTGAGGCGGCACCTTCAATCATGTGTTTGTGAGGGTGAACCCCAAGTGGTAGTAGCATGGACACCTAACGTGGAATTCCCCCTCATGGCCTCGTAATATCCTTCACCACTTAAAATCCACTCATTCAGATCATTCGGAAACTGACTGGTCACCTGGCAGGAACTGAGGTCCAGTTTCCCTTGGAGGTTCTTGAAGAAAGGGCTATTGAGAAGAAGTGTTCAAAAATTGGTCTCTGCTGTTAACAGAAATGCAGGTCAGGAGGGAGTGCTCTGTCATTGTGTGGCTTATGTGACCTTGGGTGATTTGTTTAACCTTCCTGAGCCTACTTCATATGGTTCTTATGAGGACTTAATGTAATAATGAATGCCAAGTGCTTTGCTCAGGGGTCTACATCCTACCAGGCTCCCGAGAGTAGTATTTTGTTTGGGTGAGAGCGATGCATATCGCATGGGGTAGGGTCTGAGTACCCAAGACCCTGATTATACTTAGAGTCCACTAATTCTAAACATTTGGAGAGCTGCTCAAGAATGGGGGGAGGGGGTGGGTCAGCATTTCACGGGTGAACTTGGAAAAAGGAACTTTAAAAGCTTCTGGGTACCTATAAACACTGAATAAGTGAACTGAAGTCATTCATGTCTACTCCTTACAGTGGGGTGTAACCCCACACCTGGTTGTTCAGCTTGCTTGGAGGTACTAACTTGAAAGTAATAGGGCTCAACTTCTTTTACTGTATTCTGAATTTTTTGCTGATCAGGGAGCTGATTCAGTGATGTGTTTACTGTATTCCTGGTCCTTCCATGCAATGGAGACTCTTGAGAATCAATGGAAAATTAGGTTCCAGGTCGGGCAGCCTGTCCGATTGATTCTTCTAGAGCCTGAATCTGGATTCCTAAGCCCCAAAGGTGTCTGGACAGAGCTAAGTTAACATGGGGAGGATGTGAGAATCCTCCATTTCAACATGACCAATAGAAAATTCCTCCAGGAACCTGGGGTTTTCTGAAATGCCCTGAGCCGGCATCGTTGGCGCCTGTGCACACATACAGAGTCATATTCCACATGAACGAAACATCAGACGTGGTGCATCCTTTCCTAGTGCAGTAGTCTCATCCCTCCCAGTGCCTTCATTGTAATGGAACTTGCGTGGGAAGGGTTGTTTGTTTATTTTAATAATCAGAGAATCCACACCCAGCCAGAGCGGGCTCCCTCTCTGGCTTCCTTAAGGGTCACATTCACGACAGTGTTTCATACTAGTCTTGCTTCTTAATAGCTTCTCCAGGTGACCACATTCAAGGCAGTGTTTCATACTGATCTTGCCTCTTAATAGCTTCTCCAAGTGACCACTGCCATCTTTTAACTTGCAGCCCTTTTATTTCTGGAGCCGTTTGATTCTGTGAAAGCCTGCAGCTAATGTTATTTAAGATACCGCACTAATTAGCTTGTCCTCTTCTGCACTTTCATGCTCTGTTACTTTTCTTTATGTTTTTTGGCCTCTACTCATCTATTTGCATTTCCCGCCTGAATATTAAGTAGAGAGCATGCAAATGATGCTCATTTTAAAGGGCAATTTAATCACTAAAAAAAGGCTGATAAGAATCTTTTGCTCTTTATTGGTAAAAACAGACGGAGTTTTATTCCAGCATCCTGTGATCTTAAGGGGAAACCTCAAATTGCTTACAAAGCTGGGGTGATTAGGTTTAAACCCTGGGGGTTTTCTGCTAACATAAGGTAATAGGATTATCAGAAAAACTCACACCTGCTCAAAATGATTGCTTAGAAAAGTCACCTTTGTAGAAAAATGCAAGTAAACACATTTATGTAATGGTCTGTGGCTGGCTTTATCACGTCCTGATTTGGTTTATAGAAATGAATTGTAAAAGCGGGTGAAATTCGGTTCAGCTTGGAAGTGTACCTGACAATAATCAGACCAACTGTTGATGGAGAAAGGTGTTCTGAATAATTAAAGAATATTGGCTTACTAATGATCAGGTCGTTAACAGGACTATCCCTAAGGCAGTGATATTAAGCACGAGTAATGATTGTCCATTTGCAACAATATTTAGAAGATCTCTTTTCTCACTTATATTCGGTCATCCAGGCTTCAAGGTAGGAAGAATAATTAGTGCAATTTCTCATCATGTCAAAATGCCTGATGATAATAAGACAAAGAGAATAATTGGGATAGGACACTCCTCGAGCCATAATAATTTTCCTAGCCTTTCCCCAAAACTTGGTGTTTTGAGGTTTCAAATGGAATGTTTCATTTCTGTATTGAATTCTTAAATTTGTAAACGAAATCAGCTTTAAGGAAAAATCCTTACTGATCTTTTAAAGATTTGTTTTTTACGTTTCTCAGAAGTTAATTATTTTCTCAAAAGCTAAGGGATGCTCACAAAATCTTAAGACAGAGATCAGTATCTAATTTTTTTTTTAGAATTTATTTGAGAGTCATAGAGACAGAAAAAGAGACAAACAAACAAAAGGACAGCGAGAGAAAGAGTTGTCATCCTCTGGTTCACTCCCCAAATGTCTGCAGTCGGCTGGGGCTGAGGCTGGGAGCCAGGAACTCAGTCCAGGCCTCCACATGGATGGCAGGAGCCCAAATGCTCGAGCCATTGCTGTTGCCTCCCAGCATCTGCATTGACAGGAGGCTGGAGTTAGGAGCTGCATGCCCTTACTGTACCCAGGCACTCCCATGTGGGACATGGGTCCTAACCAGTCGCTTAACAGCTAAGCCAAATGCCCACGCCAGCTTGTAATTCTTGATTCAGCCTTACGTATGTGAAGGCTCTGTATTCGCATGAAACAAAAGCACTCAAGTAAAAATTTTTAAACCTGTCCTGTACTTATGGAAACATTTTTAATGCTGTGGCTTAATTAACAGCCCTTGTGGTTTTCTCTTAATGATACAAAATATATTAATGTATCTTGAAATCAGTAATGTCTTAGATTCAATTGAAAAAAAAAAACACCTAATTTTTAAAAGATCTTCATTGCTAAGCACCAAAATGGAAATTGTCCAGTGATATTATGAATCTACCAGCCATTCTTCTTGAAGACTTTTCTTGTAATCATAATGTTAATTGTGGTGTGTGATTCTGAAATACTCGTGCAGTGTTTCATGGGGAAATGTAACTAATGCATGGCTTGTGTCCTTTGAGACATTCAGGAAGCATGTGCACGGGGTCAGGGGTGGAAAATATGAGGGTTCTTCACAAAGTTCGTGGAAATTTGTATTATGAAAAAGCAATGCATGGATTTCCAAAGTGCATTAAAATAGTATTTTTCAATTCCATTTTTTGTGAACTTTGTGAGGTCGCTTTATTGAGTTGCTTTCATGATTTATGCTCTTCATATCTTATTTTTGTTTGGACCAAAAGCACTGATGCTGTATTGTTTAAGCATAGGCTTTCCCACCTGTACTCTTGCTGACTTTGTACAAAGGACATCGTATCAGCACCAAATTTATAAGGTGGGAACCAAATTCTAATCCAAAGTAGCTATGCTACATTGCTTATGACTGTGTGTGTTTTGATTATTTTTTGGTTTTGCTTTGACTTGAGCTAATGCGATGATCATCTCTGTTCTTTGCTTTGTTTGTGGATTATCTACCTGCAAGGCATATTAGGAAGTACAAAAGACATTTCTTTCTGTAATGCTTAGCATAGAATTAAGCTCTCGCCTGGGGGTGGGTTTTGTTCCCCATAGGAGCTTGGCAATGTCTGGAGATAGTTTGAGTTTTCACAACTTGGAAAGAGGGGAATTGCAACTGGTATCCATTAGGTACAAACCAAGGATGCTGCTAAGCTGTCCCCACAACAAATTATTCCACTGAGAAACACAAATATAGACATTTGCATGTAGTGGTAAATGCTTAGTCAAAGTTTGTCATGATTATTGCTATTATTTTCATTAAAGTAGGTATATAGTTGCTTTCCAAGCTGGCCCTACCCTTAAAATTGTGGGCACCATTATTTTACCAGTCCTACTGGAAGAAACTAAGTAAAAATCTTAGGCTTTCAAGTATATCTTATGATTCCACGAATGTCTGAAGTTCCATATAGGAGATTTTCATCTAAGGAAGCAAGCATCGCATTCCCTATACGTTGATGAGTGCTGCACACAAGCGTTATATAGAGAGAGATGACAAGAAGCTCCCAACTCAGTAGTTCAGAACGAAAAACATGAACTTTCAAATCTGCACTAAATAGCCTGCCAGGCTGGAATTGTGGCTGTGGCGGGGGAGTGCATTCATAGAGGCTGCAAGGTGTCTTCCCGTGCAAGCAAACTAAACGGTATACTGAACACGGCTGCAAAGTTAAACACACGGGCGCCCCCTCCACCCCAACACCACCTCCAGGGTAACTCAGAGGTCTTTCTGATGCTGTTTTATTCATGAGTTTGCTACACAAATCTCTCAGAATGCACCCAGCAAGCCTGGCTGCCTCTGTATGCAAATTGTTGCCCCAGTGAGCCAGTGCAGGAAGGAAGGGTGAACACAGAGAATGAGCTTTGATGCAGTGCGCTTCATTTTGAGCAAAGATTATTGTCGATGCATTATTCAGGGGGAGGGGGTGTTGTACATGGCAGTGCCTTTAATGCGAGTTGAAACTTCCGGAGGTGTTATTTCAAAGCTGGTTTTGACATTAGGAAAATCAGAAGCCAGAATGGCCTATATGATATAACTGAACCTTACCGGGTCTTAATTTGTCTTCTGAGAAATTATCAAACGCTGCATGGAGGAAGTGATTTTTTAAAAAATGCTGAATATTTAAATGCTTAATACCTTGCCTTCACTGAACCATAAGCAAGTTCCTCAATACCAATAACATCCAAAAGAGGTTTCATTTCCTTGATAGCCTAAATAATACACTCTGAAAATCTTTTGCAGTTTCTTTTAGGTTACTAAAATGTTATGAGACATTAAATATAGATCAGCCCTTTGCCAAATTGAAGTGAGTTCTACAGTATTACTATTTTTGTGTATATTTCTTTTTGGATTTGTTCTTGCAGAAATGCACTCTTTTGTACTTCAGATCCCCAGTTCAAATAGCCAAAGGACGCTTTGGTTGTTGTGACGGTGATGCTGGAACACGTCTGTCACTTGTGCAGTAACTCCACCATGCGGTTGTCCCTGCCTTTCCAGTGTACTCTATGGGGGAGATTATTCGTGTGACTGCGTGAGCCCTGAATGGCCATACTGTGCAGATGGGGCCAACCCTCCTGTTACTCCCAAGACATAATGACTTTCAAAGTCTGGTTTCTTGTGGGTCACAAACTCATTCAAGCCAATTAATACAATTAAACTCAAACAGTAGTAGCTATGTTGATCCAAGATATTTCCTTTGTTTCAAGGGGCTTTGATGTGAACATATATGCCTCCTCCCTGGTATAGATTCCCCTGAAACAATTTGATTTCCCAAGCTGCCTTCTAAAGAGTATTACCTATTTTCTTAAAGTCTGAAAGGGAGAGAAAATTAATATTCAGCAGAATCCATTTGAGTTTGCTTCTTGCAAGTAAATTTCCATTAGCCTCAGAGAGTTGAATGTTGCTGCTGGTTAATTGGATAAGAATTTCTTTCTAGCCTAAAAGGGCTGATTTGGTTCTTTAAGAAGACTTCTTTGTAAGGAGATGCCTTTAATATATGGCAGGCTTGTTTTCTCAACACCAGACAAAATAATGAAGGCTAAGTTATCACAGCAATTTTGGTGGTAATTTTTAATAGCTGAGTGTCATCATATCCCATTCTTCCCAATCACATGTTACCTTCAGTTTCTGACTGTCAGAACCTTAATAAAGAAATAACTCTTGGTCTGCCCGTAAGTGGGATTATGAAACCCAGCAATGAGGAAACCATTAAAAAATTAATCTAGAGGAAAGTTAATTGCAGACTTAATATGGCATTTTGCAACTTGGTCAACAAAATGCTTCAGCCTGATTAACAGTAGTTTCCAAGGGCTGAAAACATGAAGCCTGAGGAAATGCCTTTTCCTTGTCAGCTTTTATTCTTCATATAGTCTTCATCTGAGGTTGTAAACAGACGCAAATACTTTAGTGAATTCCATGGTTTAAAAAAAAATACTCCCTATCTCCAGGAATAGAAGCAACAAAAGGAAGCAACTGGAGAAAAAAATTCGACTTATAAGGCCCTAAACTCTGCAGTAGCTTACTCTCTGTGGGTTATAGCTTGAATGTGCTGAGAAATTCTTGTGCAGTACTGTATTCCCCAATTGTTCGGGAACCTCCAAGCCTCCAGGATAGCAGTCATTTAGGATGTTCCTTGCCCATGGCAACGCTATTTCTAGGTCGTGCTAAATGTTTCCTAAAGATCCCGCCCAACTTCTTCAGTCCTCTAAGACTTTGTTAAACTTCAGAGATTCCCCCCAAACTTGGGTACCTTGCTCACTCTCCAGCATTACCGGAAAGGAATGGCCAGATGTCATTTTAGAGTGCCTTACTTTGGAAATCAGGAGGCATTGTGATAGCTGTGCAGGTCATCAGATTGGAAGTGCATTTCCCTCCCCCCGTGACTCTCACCATCCCCCCCCACAACCACCCCAAAAGAGCCAAAGCATCCACTTACATTCTCTGTCTTCTTAGTGCTCCGTGTCCTGTGGCCAAGGCGTGCAGCAGAGGCATGTGGGCTGTCAGATCGGAACACACAAAACAGCCAGAGAGGCGGAGTGCAACCCGTACACCAGACCGGCGTCGGAGCGCACCTGCCAGGCCCCACCGTGTCCTCGCTACACTTGGAGGGCAGAGCAATGGCAAGAAGTAAGTAGAGCCATGCACACACCTGCCAAGCGCCTCGCTCCACCCCCTTGTGAGCATCACATCCGCTCCCTAGGAAGCCAGAGAAGCCATGGGGCACGGTGGCATTGCTGGCTCTTTCCCAGAGGGTTTGCCGTCTGACCCAGCACTCGCTCCAACAAGGGTGGGAGAGCTCCTTGAAGCAGTTCCTGCGGTCTGCGTTCCTGAATATTCTGACTGCCTGCAAAAATGCTTTCACAGGACGTGGGCCAAAGGCAGAGAGATAACTTTCAAAGAAGGAGGGGGAGATGGGAGGAATATTTGAAATGTGTGTGTGTGTCCAGATTTGGTCATTTAATATCAGCCTACATAGCCACAAGGCAGACTTTAGCTAGTGTCCTCTGTGTTTTTCCTCTTCACCCAACATTGGCTGTCAAGTAGAAGATGGGCACTCATGTGAAACCCTGGTTAATTAGTGAAGGATTTCCAGCGTTCAAAAAAAAAAAAAAAGAAATCCAGAGAAACTGCTCTAAATTAATGTTTGGCTAAGGAAAACCTCAAGTGTCCCTGGGGAACGGTCTGGCTGGGAAGGTGAACCATTACCAAGAGAGAACCACAGTGTCTGGAGCAGGAGATTACATCTCAGGAAAGGGGGTGAAAGACAAGTGGAAGGTGAAACCCAGTACACTGGTGTTGGGATGAAATGAAATTGTGTCCTGTCACAGTGTGGAAGGGGCCACAGGAAGACTGGGATGCACCCGGCCCAGGAAGGACTTTCAGAACAGAGGGAAGAAGACCTTTCTCTCTGTCTCTCTCTCTCACTGTCCACTCTGCCTGTCAAAAAAAAAAAAAAAAAAAAAAAAACCAAAAAAAAACAAAAAAACAGAGGGAAGGGCTGCAGTCCGCGGAGCAGGTGTAGTGGCCCCGGCACTGGGCTGGGGTGATGAATGAATGCTTCTCCCCTTGCTTCATCTTTTGCACCATGAGACAGGCATTGCCAACCCATTCGGCAGGTGAGGTTCCAAGGTTGATGCCATTTGCCCAAAGTATCACATACCTGACAGGTGGAAGCAGCAAGAGTCGTTGCTGAATTGGTTCTCTTCAGCCACCATGAGATCCGGCATCTGAAGTCTCCTTCCCCAACAGGGACTCAGCCTCCCTGCCCTGTCTGATCCCCAGTTTGCAGTCATTTCTCAGCTTGAGGGACCTTCCTTCTCCTGCTCTCCTGTCTTTTTTTTTTTTTGCTTGGTTTCCCTCCTGGATGATTTTACTTCCATCAGAGGATGGCAGGGAGGGATGGCCAGAGCAGTTAAATTTCACATGGATTGCACTTGACCCTCACCAATCATTGAGAATCACAGAGGTTTAACATTGTTACAGGTTGCTCATACACCTGCACTGCCACTGGCCCGCCTGGGACTTAGCACTGCATTTCTGATTCTTCTGAACCTCTGAGTCACCATCTGTACAGTGGGATTAATAACTGTGTAGCACAACTCCAAGGCAGTGAGCGTCAAGAGACTAATCTTTCATCCATTAGGGTCTTCGGATTAGCATTGTCACATGCAGAAGGGAGAGTGGGGGCTCCCTGGGTGTTCACCTCTGGCTTCTTCTACCTAACTCTTATTTCTTTTTTCTTTTTTTTTTTTTTTTTTTTTGACAGGCAGAGTGGACAGTGAGAGAGAGACAGAGAGAAAGGTCTTCCTTTGCCGTTGGTTCACCCTCCAATGGCCGCCGCGGCCAGCGCACCGCGCTGATCCGAAGGCAGGAGCCAGGAGCCAGGTGCTTTTCCTGGTCTCCCATGGGGTGCAGGGCCCAAGCACTTGGGTCATCCTCCACTGCACTCCCTGGCCACAGCAGAGAGCTGGCCTGGAAGAGGGGCAACCAGGACAGAATCCAGCGCCCCAACCGGGACTAGAACCCGGTGTGCCGGCGCCGCTAGGCGGAGGATTAGCCTAGTGAGCCGCGGCGCCGGCCTACCTAACTCTTATTTCACATCTCCCACTGCCCACTTTCTGCCTTTGCCTCTTCATCCCTTGCCAGGCTCAGGTCTGCAGACCCATTCCAGAGAGCAGAGGGTCAGAGAGGGTTCAGAAATGAATGGAAGCTGACTGCTGGCGCATGAGCCGGCTTTTGAATGTGCCAGGGCCCATGGTGAAAATGCAAGCTCCATTTATGGTTTCTTCTGGATCCCAAAGACGAGAAAAACCCTGCCACATAAGCGCCAGGAAAATGCTTCCTATCTGATCATACAAAACTTGCCTGCAAGTTGGCGTCTCTGCATGTGCTGTGCAGTTGCATCTGTTCAAGTCCTCCCTCTCCTATTGCTATCGGGCTCTGCATGAGACTATTCTGGGCCTCTGGGTGAGGGGTTTGCCCCAGGTTCACCACTGTTCCCAGCAGCACTCTGTAAGCAGTGGGCAGGCAGAGTCTGACGACCACCCGCCTGCAACAGCCTTGCTCGTCTGCCTGCACCCAAGATAGAGACTCGGAGGAGGACCTGGGTGGTGAGGATGGATAGAGCACCTTGGTGGGCCCTTGAACAAACGCACATGGGAAGGGTGAGGCTGAGGGCAGATGGAGGAGTGTGCAGCCCCTGCACACTCTGAGCATCCCCATGGCAAGCACAGCTTAGAGTGCATGTTGACCCGAGCTGGACATCAACCTTGATGGACCAGATCAGGAGTGGAGTGGCCGCACATTTTGTTGTTGTTCTAGGTGTATGATTAAAGCAGTAGACTGGGAGTGGGTGCTCGCCTGGTAACACAGCCCCATCTCCTCCTCTAGGATATCTCAGCCTGAAGTTGGTGAGCTCGCCATGGCACAGCCTCCCAGCCCGCCACATGGAGCCACCCCAGAACTTCCATGTGCAGTTTTTCTTTGGCCTCCCTTTGGAGGACTCTTAAAATGCACCAGTTTGTTGACAAGATGTATTTCATGCTGAGCCCATAGCATATGGAATCTTTCCCATCTTAAGTATCCCAGGCATCTGTCTTTGCAAGCATAAGCTCTGTACACAAACCATTACAAGATCATCAGGGTTGTTTTGTTCAGCTGCACAGGTTGTACACTGCACAATTCCAGGGACCACCATTCCTTTAGGCCACAATGTAAGGGGTATCCCCTAGAGTTATCTAGTATTATAGCTCTAATAATGATGATAATAGAAGTAACAGAGCTTATTATTGACTAAGCTATGGACCAGGCACTATAGTGAATATTTTTACAGGAAGTACTTCTTACCGCTTTCCACAGCTCTCTGATATAGCAGTTGTATTTGTTTTCTCTGTGCAGTGTGGAAACTCGAGGCTTGGGTGGGTTAATTCATCAAAGGTGCATTCAGTAAGCCTTAAGGCTGGAATCTGAAGCCCAGCAGCCTGACCTGTAAAACTCACTGAGTGAATCTTTATAGTCACAGCTCCCCGTGTCGACACGCACCTAACTTGAAACATTTTCTTTCCGTCTCAAAGGCTTGTCAAGCCTCTTCCTGGAGTGTTGGTGTCAGAGTGGTATTCCCGTTACTGGGTCGCGACCTCTTCTAAAACTCAGATTCTTGCTCCAGATGGTTGGCCATCGGCCTGCGAGCCACGACCCTGGGGGAATCATGGCAGGAAGCGCCTCGGAGGGCCTCCTCTGTGAGCCGCTCACTGTGCAAAGGCAGGAGGTCTGTGTGCCTTCTGGGGGCCATGAGGGGAGCGCTTGGATTCCCCATGTAAGAAAAACCTCTGGAGAAGAGAGAGTGCTCTATTCAGACTTGCGTGCCTCAGTTTCATTGCACCCTCGAAGCAACGTGGTGCAAAGAGCGGACCACCTGCTGTGTAGCTCAGGGAAGTTTGGGTGTCTAGGCTGTGGTGAGCCCACCTGCAGATGGGAGTTACCCGGCAGGCTCTGCAGAAGGGCCGGAGTGAGCAGGAAGTGGGATGGATTGCAGGATGAGCCAGTGCAGTACCCAACACATTTGAGCCCAACGGCTCCTTCCCTTTAGTGCGGTGGCCTCCTGATGGAGAGTTCAGCCGAAAACCAGCAGTCCAGCTAAGCCTGTGCCGCACACTGTTGGGCTTTTGACATCACCGACCAACTTAAGACAAGTAATTGGTCCTCTCAGTGCTCAGTCTTACCCACTTGAGAATTATGATGCTTTAGGGAGAAAAACTTTCCAAAAGACTTTTTAACTCTTTGGAGAATCGTTAGTATAAAGGATTTATTTGGTAATACCCTAATCTGATTGATATAGTCACTTGTAGCTGCAGAGTCTCTTCTTATCAAGTTCAAATTATGAATATATGAGGTCGTGTGTCATTGGCAGTGAGCAATAAATCTTGCAGTTCATGCAAGTCTTCTTTTTTTCTCTTTTTTAAAAAATATTTATTTTAAAGGTAGAGTTAGAGAGGGGTAGAGTTAGGGAGGAAGAGAGAGAGAAAGGTTATCCTTTCACTTGTTCACTCCTCACATAGCCTCAACAGCAGGAGCTGGGGCAATCCAGAGCCAGGAGCCAGGAGCTTCTTCCAGATTTCCCACGTGGGTGCAGGCACCAAAGCACTTGAGCCATCTTCTACTGCTTTCCCAGGCACAGTAGCAGGGAGCTGGTTCAGAAGTGGAGCAGCCAGGACTCAAACCACTGCAGGCCATGTGGCTTTCCCTGCTTTGCCACAGGGCCACCCCCCCCCTTTTTTCCCTTGCCTGGAGTCATTTCTTCTCTCTATATATACCTCTGTATCACCATAAGGCCATGCTGCATCTGCCCTTACCTCAGTCTCCCGCGCTCATCCTTCAGACCTCCTGCAAGATGTCGCTTCCACCCAGAAGCCTTTGCTGATCACAGCTTCCCACTAATGCCTCAGTCAGGTGCTCTTGCACTCACAGCCCCCTGAAATGACTGCACTCTCTCATCATGGCTTGTTTTCCTCAACTGTGCTATTAGCTATTTGAGGTTGGGGGAGCTTATTCACTAGAATTTTCTGCAGTGTGTAAGAAGGTAC